GTAATCACCATACACCATACGTCACTAAGCTCGGGTATCTTGATGCTGATGAAGGGCTCTTGATCCTAGGAACTGGAGCTACCTGGTTTGGCTTACGGATAGACTTAGCTGGCTTGGAAGTCAGCAAATAAGCCACAAGTAATTGTGGCTTATTTGCTTATTTGTGGCTTATTTGTGGCGTGTAATACACGCCAGGGAGCACCCTGGAGGAGTGCGTAGATGACTGGAGTTAACGGGCTTGGCTGAGGTAACTGTCCACAGTGTGAGGTAACTGTCCACGTAAATCGTAAATTTACGAGTACACCGCTGGCACCATTTGTCGTAAGTGATGGTGAATGATAAACTCACTGTTATACTAGTATATTGAGTATATACGTGGTATTAAGCCCTGCCTGCAGTCTGATGTTGTGATTGCCCAGAGTACGCCGTCATGTGACCCAGCCTCACGGAGGGAGCAGCGTCTTAGCAAGGTTCAAACTACTCTGATATAACAGTATTTAAAGAGTCCGTGGCATCACGGCTAACATATCTGAAATATGCTGACACAGCGACGTGCAAAATACTGAGAGGAATTGACAAGGTGAAGAGAGCCAAAATGTTTCAAGATATGGGACACAGGAACAAGGGGTCACAACTGGAAGTTGAATACTCAGATGAGTCATAGGGGTGTTAGGAAGTATTTTTTTCAGCCTTAGAGTTGCCAGGAAGTGGAAGAATCTAGAGAATGAAGCAGTGGAGGCGGGATCCATACATAGCTTTAAAACAGAGGTACGATAACGCTCTTGGAGCAGGGAGAAAGTGGACCTGGTAGCGACCAGTGAAGAGGCGGTACCAGGAGCTTCCATATATAGATGAGAGAGAGAGTACATATAGGTGAGTACATACACTCAACCTCTACTCCATCTACACCTTGTTTAATGAAGACATATGGAACTGCTTTACTGACCTACAGAACTGTTAAACTGGTTACGGTGGCTAAGGAACCACAGTCGAAAAGGCGACAGGAAGCGGACATCGGGAACTCCATGTGACGCACTACCACCATCACCACTACCACCACCACTACCGCTACAACCACCACCACTACCAACACCACTACCACCACCACTACCACCACCACTACTACCACCGCTATCACCACCACTACCACCATCACCACTACCACCACCGCTATCACCACCACTACCACCACCACTACCACCACCAATACCACCACCACTACCACCAATACCACCACTATTGGCAATATAAACACAAACGCAGTATAATGTGATCCTTTATTGACTACGTTTCGCCCACACAGTGGGCTTTTTCAAGTGACTTGAAAAAGCCCACTGTGTGGGCGAAACGTAGTCAATAAAGGATCACATTATACTGCGTTTGTGTTTATATTGCCATTGTGTCGGTATTTTATACCATTTATTTCCACCACCACTATTACCGCTACAACCAGCACCACTTCCAGCACCACTACCAACACCACTACCACCACCACTACCACCTTCCCTACCACCATAACTACCACCACCAACTACCACCACCACCACCTCTACCACCAACACTACCACCATAACTACCACCACAACCACCACCACTACCACCACCACAACCAACACCACTATCACCACCACTACAACCACCACTACCGCCACCACTACCACCACCACTACAACCACCACTACCACCACCACTACCGCCACCACTATCACCATAACTACCACCACTACAACCACCACCACAACCACTACCGCTACCACCACCACTACCACCACCACTACCACTACTATCACCACTATCACCACCACAACTACCACCACCACCACCACCACGGTCATAACTACCACCCACCACCACCCACCACCACCACTATAACTACCACCCATCACACTACCACCCACCACCATCACCATCACTGATAAAGTCCACTGTGTGGGCGAAACGTTGTCAATAAAGGATCACATTATATAATATTCAAGTCTATTTTACCATGTCGATATTCTATGCCATTTATCTCAAGTTATCCCATATTTACCCTTTATCCGGGTTCACATAACACAAGTCACTTGATACAGTCACGTTCGCTGTCTAACCTGTACTGTCGAAGGGCTCTACATCCAAGGAAATGGATCAAAACTGATTACCTTCCCTCTCTAGGTGCTGCTTGACTCCTACGGGTTTACAGCTTCCCGTGAATGTATTAGGTGAAGACAGGTTGCACAGAAACATTTTGTTGGGACGACGTTTCGCTCTATATAGAGCTTTTTCAGACTTTACAAAGCTCTACACGGTTAAGAAACGTCCCAATTAAAGCTTCCTCTGTGACCTGTAAGTTTACGCTCACAAAATAATAATAATAATAATAATAATAATAATAATAATAATAATAATAATAATAATAATAATAATAACAATAGCAATAACTGGCTGTCTTACAAGTAACAGGTAATACTTAACAATACTAGTATTAAGAAAAGCGTGGGTCGTGGCCCGGGGAGGTAGTGAGGATGGTAATGACTCAATTCATGGCAGTGCCAGGGAGGGTAATTACCCAGTAAGTCAGACAGTTAGTGGCTTCCTGAGAAGTGATCAGTGTGATAACACCAAGATTACACATACACACACAAGCGACCTGTCAAGAGGCGGGGCCAGGAGCTATGACTCGACCCTGCAACCACACCTAGGTGAGTACATACACACACCCACGTTCCTAAAACAGCAGCAGCAGCAGCGACTGTAACAGCACCTTAAGTGCGACAATATATTTCACTATATCCACTTAAGAAGTTATTTAATACCGCCGCGGGAGTTTTAGTTCAGAGATGCGCAGGCTCTGGTGGTGGTGGTGAAGGAGGAGGAGGCTATACAGTGAGCTGCATCATACAGTCAAGTACACTGTATCGTGAACTCAGATAAAGTCGTAATAAACGACTGTCAGTGAATAAACAGAAGGATGAGTGGGAGGCATGAACTGTGGTCTCGAGTTTGTAAGGTCCTAAAGCTTCGACTAAGAGTTTGATAGGCCCTCAAGCTTCGACTACACTTAGAGTTTGATAGGCCCTCAAGCTTCGACTACACTTAGAGTTTGATAGGCCCTCAAGCTTCGACTACACTTAGAGTTTGATAGGCCCTCAAGCTTCGACTACACTTAGAAGTCCCGTAGCCGAACCGGTAAAGCGCTGGAGTGGGACCTGTCGCTCTCGGGACCCTGGTTCAAGCCTCCCGACCATCCTGCTCATTATTCACACTGTATCATAATCCGTATGGTCTTGAAAACAGCGTGTAGTCGTTTTGCTCTTAGGAGAATGGTGTGAGATGACACACTAGTTCCATTTTTCATCGAGAAGACAATAATGTTATTAATAATAATAGCATTCTCTCTCTCTCTCTCTCTCTCTCTCTCTCTCTCTCTCTCTCTCTCTCTCTCTCTCTGAGCTGTGAATCGATCCCTGCAACCACAAATAGAAAAAACAAAATATGGGTCATGTGTCTATCGACAAGTGCCTTTGACAATGGGTAAACATTACTCATTTCCTCAATCCAATTGGTCAATCAGTCTGACCTTCATCACTAGTTAAAAGACAAAAATTATATATAATATATAAGTCACTTCCCGTTATTCAGATGTATGAAATGGAGTTGCGATTGGAAAGGGCAGTGAGAGGGGTGAAGACAGAGTGGTGGAGGGTGGGGGAAAAAGAAGTATACCCTAAGCTTGAATGATTCCTCAAAGGAGAGAGATATGTATGTCTTAAGCTTAAGTGATCCCCAAAGAAAGAGGTATACCCTAAGCTTGAGTGATTCCTCAAAAGAAAGAGGTATGTATACCTTAAGCTTAATTGATCCCCAAAGAAAGAGGTATACCCTAAGCTTGAGTGATCCCCAAAAGAAAAAAGTATACTCTAAGCTTGGGTGATCCTCAAAATAAAGAAGTATACCTTAAGCCTGAGTGATCCCTAAAGAATGAGGTATACTCTAAACTTGAGTGATCTCTAAAGCAAGAGGTATACCCTAAGCTTGAGTGATCCCCAAAGAAAGAGGAATGCCTTAAGCTTGAGTGGTCTCTTGATATCATAAATAAAAACTTCACTTTAAATTCACACTCCTGAAAACTCATACGGATGTCAACGTTTTCACCACATTAACAACTGGAAATCACTGGCTAAGATAATACGTATGATTCACGTAAGGATGCTTCCTGTAAGGATACTTCGCATAAGAATGCTTCTCATGTTCATGTCCATGGAAATACTTCAGCTGAGGATGCTTCCCATGAGGGCTGACATCCAGAGAGGAATGAATCTCATACGTTTGAAGATTTCCATAAGCAAGATGTCATGTCAATCATCAGTTATTTTAAGAGTCCATCACCTGGTAAGTCAGTAAGTTTATTTAGGCACAGGTACACATAATTACAAGTATCATACATAGTGTAAATTACCTATGATAACCCAAATAAAATCTAATTTATAACTCGTTCAAGCTATTAGAACTCTGTGGCCCAGTTCCTGGACCCATTATGTACCTCTGTAATGTTGAGGTACAGTCCCTGGACCCATTACGTACCTATGTAATGTTGAGATACAGTCCCTGGACCTATTATGTACCTCTGTAATGCTGAGGTACAGTCCCTGGACCCATTATGTATCTCTGTAATGCTGAGGTACAGTCCCTGGACCCATTATGTACCTCTGCAATGCTGAGGTACAGTCCCTGGACCCATTATGTGCCTCTGTAATGCTGAGGTACAGTCCTGGACCCATTATGTGCCTCTGTAATCTTTTGACTATCGCCCACAGGATGGGTATGGGGTGCCTAATAAACATTAAACTAACCATAGGTGTCATAAAGCTTCTAAGGAAAGGGAATGAGGCATGAAGCCGGAAAGAAGTGGGTGCTAAACATCAGCTCCTCGCACCAGCAGCTCACGAAGCATCACAGTGACGTAAGCTCATCCGGGCTCGGGCTATATAAACCGCCACCTGTGTGCATTCTCTTCAGAGTTTCCTCAGCTTCGACGGGGATAGCACGCACGTTTAGTGTCCTCTCTCTCTCTCTCACCGTCTCTTCTTCCCCTCTCGCCATCACTATATACCGCATTTAATATCCCATTGAACTTCAGTGAGGAGAAAAACTATACTGCAGTGAACGAGTGCTTTTCCATATTTTTTGGAGGCGAGTTGCGGCTACTGGGCTTCGATGGTGAAGAATATGGAGCGAGACGCCCAGCAGGAAGATAAGGGTGAGTACTCCATGGATTTCATTTATGGGGGGAAAGCAGTAAATCTGTAAGGGGTTATACGGTTCCTGGGGACTGAGAGGTGATGAGGCTTTTGATCCAGTCGAAGAGCGGGAAGCTTGAGACAGTGTGGATCGAAAGCTTCACAGAGATGTACATGTCATTGGATGCTGACAAAGTGTGGACTCATACTGGTACTTACACTGTCGACTAATGCTGACATTGTCGGCTAGCACTGATACTAGGCTCATGCTGACATTGTCTGCTGGTACTGACACTGTCGACTAATGCTGACATTGTCGGCTAGCACTGATACTAGGCTCATGCTGACATTGTCTGCTGGTACTGACACTGTCGACTCATGTTGACATTGTCGGCTGGTACTGATACTAGGCTCATGCTGACATTGTCTGCTGGTACTGACACTGTCGACTCATGTTGACATTGTCGGCTGGTACTGATACTAGGCTCATGCTGACATTGTCTGCTGGTACTGACACTGTCGACTCATGTTGACATTGTCGGCTGGTACTGATACTAGACTCATGCTGACACTGTCGACTCATGCTGGTGCGATAATAGTATCCTGCGATGGTAGTAGCGAACTTGTGATGATAGTAACTCTGGTAGTGATAGTAACTCTGGTAATGATAGTAAGTCTCTGGTAGTAATAGTAAGCCTCTGGTAATGATAGTAAGTCTCTGGTAATGATAGTAACTCTGGTAATGATAGTAAGTCTCTGGTAATGATAGTAACTCTGGTAATGATAGTAAGTCTTTGGTAGTGATGTAAGTCTCTGGTAATGATAGTAAGCCTCTGGTAATGATAGTAAGTCTCTGGTAATGATAGTAAGTCTCTGGTAATGATAGTAAGCCTCTGGTAATGATAGTAAGTCTCTGGTAATGATAGTAAGTCTCTGGTAATGATAGTAAGTCTCTGGTAATGATAGTAAGCCTCTGGTAATGATAGTAAGTCTCTGGTAATGATAGTAAGCCTCTGGTAATGATAGTAAGTCTCTGGTAATGATAGTAAGTCTCTGGTAATGATAGTAAGTCTCTGGTAATGATAGTAAGCCTCTGGTAATGATAGTAAGTCTCTGGTAATGATAGTAAGTCTGGTAATGATAGTAAGTCTCTGGTAATGATAGTAAGTCTCTGGTAATGATAGTAAGTGTCTGGTAATGATAGTAAGTCTCTGGTAATGATAGTAAGTCTCTGGTAATGATAGTAAGTCTCTGGTAATGATAGTAAGTCTCTGGTAATGATAGTAAGCCTCTGGTAATGATAGTAAGTCTCTGGTAATGATAGTAAGTCTGGTAATGATAGTAAGTCTCTGGTAATGATAGTAAGTCTCTGGTAATGATAGTAAGTGTCTGGTAATGATAGTAAGTCTCTGGTAATGATAGTCTCTGGTAATGACAAGGATTTGAAGTCAAGTATATATAAATGTTTGAAAAGGAACCAATAAGATCTAGACTCTGTCTAGAAGCATTTTACATTTCTCTTCTTATTCCTCATATAAATTATGTGGTACATTTCTGTTCACTGTGCAATTTGTTGAATGTAAACAATTATCAAGGTGCAATAAAAAAAATTACTAGGGAAATCCCAGGTAAATAGTCCTAAGCAACTTTAGGCCTAATTTTAAGGAAGACCCAAAGGAGCTTAGTGACAATCAATCACATTTTTTACTGTTAACCAAGGATAATTCAATTATCGTGAGGTATTAACCCTCTGAATTAACAATAAATTTTTGTTAGAATGGACCATGAAAGCTAAATTCGTATTTTGTAGACAGATGGAGTGAAAGTTGCACAGATTGATGAAAGGGTTTAGTAAAGGGTTTAGTAAAGGGTTTAGTAAAGGGGTTATTAGGACGATTATCAAACCTTCAACCCAAGATAGAACTCGAATCAGTTGGAAAAGTTAAAATTAAGAAACTAAATAGTTAACTAATTTCGGAAATAGGGTTACAATAGGTCTGTGGTACAAGATACAGGACATGGTTATTGATGCAAATGCTGGAAATTTTCACGCATAGGCTGGTAAATTTAATTGAATTGTTTCAGTCATAGGCTGAGCAACACAGGTCACAGTTGGAAGTTGAAGAGTCAGTTGAGTCACAAAGATGTTAGGAAGTATTTCTTCAGTCACAGAGTTGTCAGGAAGTGGAATAGTCTGGAAAGTGAGGTAGTGGAGGCAGGATCCCTACATAACTTTAATTAAGAAGAGGTATGATAAAGCTCACGGAAGCAGGGAGAGTGACCTACTAGCGACCAGTGAAGAGGCGGAGGCCAGGAAATATGAATCGACCCCTACAACCACAATTAGGTTAGTACATGTGAGAGCAGACAGGAAGGACATAGGGCAGGTAGGATGGCATATAGGACAGACAAGAGGGTGGGCTGGATGGTAAGCAGTCAGACAGGCAAGAATGGGGACAGACCACAGCCTCAGGATATCCAGAGGTGTTGAGACGCACGTAAGAATTGGCCTTGAGTTCTGGGAAGGTTATACTATGGCTCTCAAGTGTTTATCCCCCATGTAAACATTTCTAAACATATCTACACGACGAAGGATCAGGTGCAGTGATGGTGTAAGAGTGACTGTGAGATTGAGCGTGATGCTGAGTAAGAGATGTAGTGGGGGAAATGGAATTTTAGGGAGTGGAGATGAGCAGAGTGTACCCTCTCCTCACACTGCTAGCTTTAGCTAGCCCGACTGGTAACTAGTATATCGTACTTAAGCAGCAAGTTGAACTTACAGGTTGCATACAAAATGCCTCAAGATTGGGGATGTCCTGCCTTTACTGTTTATTAAGTTTTTCCACTTCCCGTCATTTGATACATAATCCCTGATTAACAGACGAGACCTTGAACCTGTTTCTGTGTCCTTGCGTGTCTCTCTCTCTCTCTCCATTCGTCTCTATCAGTATCCATGTGTCTGCGTCTCAGTCTCTCAACCAGTGTCCATGTGGGTGCGTGTGTTCTCTCCCTTGGTATTCCCACCAGGTAACCTCCAGCACAAGCCTACTTACGTCCTTGGAGTTTCTCCTAGCATTCTATTCTTAAGTGTTGTATTTTTGTTTCCATTCTAGCTAGATTCTTCTTCCTGGTACATGCAGTTTACTTAGAAGTTCCTCTCCTAGATTTACCTTACCACAGCATAACTTTGACTATCGTTGCGTCATCTAGGGAATGAGTGTATCAAGAAATAAGAGAGGCACCAGAGGATATTTGGCCTTGGTCCTGTGAGCTCTCTCAATATCTCTGCATCTGAAGGAATGTAGGAGGGGAAGTTGCGTATCCTTCAGGGTACTCTTCCCTCCCTGGAAGGATGTAAAATAAGGACGAAAAGGGTTCTTTCGGGACCTTTTCCCTCCTTACAGGATGCCTCACAAAGTTACTAAGAAACAGATATGGCTGTACCATTCATGTATACAACCGTACATGCACGCAGTCCTACATATATACAGGCAAAGGAAGATATTTATACATGAACGGAAGAGGTGACAAACGAGAGAGCAGCTGGTACCCCCTCACCAGCTGGTCTGACACCCGCTGAGAGAGATGGATTACATAGTGTAGCTCCCATCACTGTATTTACCCAGCTGCCTTGACTGGGTTGGGCTCCAGCTCTTTGGCTCGCCTCTTTTCATCGGATGGAGTGATCCAACTACCATATTTACTTACGAGTATGTATGTGTGTGTGAGTGGAATCATTCTATGCCATATCATATCGGTATTCATTCAGAGTTGCACTCACTCGGTAAAAAAAAGTAGATGTGTCTAATTTATCAAAAAAAAAAGTCTTTTAGCGTCACTGTAGATTATATCTGTGACCGATTTGGCATTCTGCACAGCAAGTCTGGCGTATTGCCAGACTTCATTCTTGACTGCTTCTTGGTCTACCATCCAAAACGTTTTGAATGTCGTGATATAGTCTCTTGATATACATTTCTTCAGAGACGTGAAAAGAATCATAGAATATTTTATTATATTCATTGTTGAAGCGGGAAAATTACAGGGGGTCATACAGAACTTGAAGAATGAGAAGCAATCAGGTTTGACTAGTCTAAAGTGAGAAGAGTTCAAAATTCTTGCATTAGAGCCCTTCTCCCACATCAAGGCACCCTGTTGAATTATTTTTTTCATATTCTAACCTTTCATCTCTATTACTAGTCAGAAAGCCAACCTTTGAACTTTCTCTGGCTTCATTGTGCTTGCCTTGAGCTTTCTACACCAGTGCTGCTTGCCAATAGTAAATTTACGCGGGGAATACCAGTCTGACAACTTCCTTCTTCAAGCTCATGAAGGCTGTTCCTAGTTGACGGTGTTTTTCCACTCAAGCTGGGAAATTTTTCCAGACGTTTTTCCTGGCCACATGACTTGTTCATGTCCCTGGACACATGACGTTGTTCATGTCCCTGGACACATGACGTTGTTCATGTCCCTGGACACATGACGTTGTTCATGTCCCTGGACACATGACGTTGTTTATGTCCCTGGCCACATGACTTTGTTTATGTCCCTGGCCACATGACTTGTTTATGTCCCTGGCCACATGACTTGTTCATGTCCCTGGCCACATGACTTGTTCATGTCTGGCATACCAATTTCACGTTAACTAGTCTGTATTTATTAAATATTTCAACTTGGCGAAATTCTCTGAAAATTTTGTATTTTAGTCACTTGAGGATTTTATACTAGGCACTCGTAAATTTCTTTGAGTTAGTATTTATCTCAGCGTCTCTTAAAAAACGATAATTAAACATCAGTAAACACCCAGTGTACACCACACACACCATTAATTAATTATTATATAATGATTAAGCAATGAGTTTGTGCGTGTTGATTTTAAATCATTGGAGCTTTGACGTGAAAGTATTTAAGGAATCGTAGTACCTGGGGATGTTAGGTAAGATGGGTGTCAAGTTGTGACTTTGATTCTGCAGGAGATTCTGAGTGTTCGTGACTGATTCTGCAGGAGATTCTGAGTGTTTGTGTTGTGACTTTGATTTTGAGTGTATTGTGACATTGTTTTCTCCTTCAGGTGGTGGACGTGTTGTGTTTGGAGTAGCAGGAGTGGTCCTGGCTGCCTCCTTTCTCTTCATGCGTGGTCCCGCCCATGACACCACGCCCATCCTCTCCACGCCCGCCCATCTTGGTGAGTATAGTGATCCATGGTTTCAAGTCTATCCACCACACTAGGGCCATGAAGGCTACATACAACCAGTCAGTATACCGAGATATATATCCCTCATTGTATATACACTGCTGCTCAGAATATATGCGTAGGGATAGTGATTTACTGTATTATAGATCATGACACCAGCATATAGATATTCCTTGAAAATATATCCATTTTTATATACGACAATTTAGTATGTATTAATGTTTTAAAACAGTTTATTGTAATGTTTAAGTTGAACTTTTAAAATGTAAATTGAAAAAAATTAATAAACGGGGTGATTTTGTTGAACGATAACTCTGGGCCTTTCGTGTTGCGATCAGCACATCTTCAGAAGCTTGCAGTGTTGCAGAAATGAGTAGGAAGTCTAAGATAAATTCGTTCAAGGGAACGACTCTTCCTGGACTTCGTTCGCATTTCTGCAACATTGCAAGCTCTTAAACATGCGTTGCTTGCAACACGAAATGCCTAGAACTATCATTCAGCTCCCCCCGTGTTTTGCATCTTGTATTGCATTGTTGCAATTACTGCAATATGTTACTATGTATGATAATTTAGCATTATATATGTGTGCACCTGTACCTAAATAAGCTAAATCTTCCCAATAGACTACGACCCCTGCTGTGCCTACCCCTGCCAGAACCAGGGTGTCTGCCTCACCCTACCAGCCAATAACTACACCTGCGACTGCACAGGCACTGACCACTATGGCATCCACTGTGAAATACGTAAGTATTTAGTCCTTATTGCAAGTTTGCATTAAGTAAATACTTCACTTATTGCCAGAATACATTGCAAGCTACATGTGATTGCAACTCATGGCAAATGTAAATAGTGGGTGCTATGATTTGTGTTTGTATCATGAAAAACAAGATGTGTCTTATTTTAAACTGATGTATTTAATGTTAATATAAATACATCAGTTTACCTTATTCCTTGTATAGTATTCCCTTTATTTGTAATTGAGTTTCACACATAAGTAATTTAGTTGGTTTAACTTTTAAAGTTTAAATAAGATATTACAAGGACCCCAGTGGAAATAAGTCACTTTCTCTGATTTTTCGGGAGTTATCATAGGGTAATTTACACTATGGTGATTGTACTCGTGTGTACCTGTACCTCAGACTTAAAGCAAAGATTAACGTTGGTACTTTCTGCCTGACAGCAACGTGGAGAGCTTGGTTAAGGAAGATATTGAAGCCAGACCCGGAGACCGTGCACAACCTCATCACCTCAAACAGCCTCTTGTGGGGCATCATCAATAGGATCCCATTCATCCACAAGCAAATTATTACCTATGTATATATCTGTAAGTTATTCATCTCACTGCTTTCTCAGTTTGTCTATCATAAGGTGTAGTACTGTGATAGGCGTGTAGGCCTATGCAAGCTCTCAAACCCAACCATTCTCATATGTCTAGTTTGGTTCAATAGGCCTATTACAGTGCTTCTATATTCTTGTGTTCTTAAAGTTATATCTTTATCTTTGCATAAAACAGTATTTAGTTTACAGTGAGTTATTATACGAAGTAAGACAGACACTTTTCTACCAGCTAGGCTTTAGCGAATTTATAGTTGAATATTCTTTACATTGGCAACCTAGTGTGTGTGGTTAACTAGACTGTTTTGTGACAGCTCGAGGTGACATGGTTGACTCTCCACCTACCTTCGAGAGTGACCACAGCTATATCACCCTCAACGCCTACTTCAACGAGAGCTACTATGGTCGGGCACTGCCTCCAGTACCCACCCACTGCCCGACTCCTTTTGGCATCAAAGGTAAGAATCCTTAACTCCTTCCACTGTTCAAACACGCAACCCAAAAAATTTCCTTCAGACATTATCCACAGTTCTAATGATCTCTCAAGAAATATTCACCTTAAATTGTAGCACATTATTGTTAATTGTCAATGATGTTTACAAATAATTTGCCTCCTGGATGAGAGACTAATGCCACAGCAACTTTTCAAATATCTTCTTGCCTCCCTTTTGGAAGCCAGCAAGACGTAATATTTCTAACGCTTGGGTCATTCCTCAGGACCAAAAGAATACCCTGACGTGGATATGCTGATCAAGAAGGTGTTCATGAGGAGAGAGTTTATCCCTGAGCCCCACGACACCAACGTCCTCTTCCAATACTATGCTCAGCACTTCACTCACCAGTTTTTCAGAACAGATTACAAGAAAGGACCTCAGCTGACCAAAGGAAGCGGTGGTGTAAGTAGAATGATGCTTCTTGGATTTGCTTATATACTTCTGAATGCCAAATATACTTGTATGATAGCTTGAATAATACCTTGAATGATAGCTTGATCCTTCATCCTCTAATTAACGATGAAGGGCGTTCAACCTTTTTCATATTTCTTTGGGATCTTCTAATTAAGGATAGAGATTGTTAGACCTTTCCTATTTTTTTGGGGGGGGGAGGGGCTGTCTCAGTCATCCTATTTCCATTAACTACGATTTATTTTTACAGTGTGTTGTGAAACTATAAAGATAATTGCATTATTTGACCTAAAAGTCACACCATTCAGAAGTGCTTTGATGATGGTGTAAGTTGCTACCCTTCCCTTCTTTGGATCAAACCTGATTACCCCTCCTTCCCCAAGTATTCTATAGCCTACACAAGTATTATTCTTCCTTGTGAATGTAATTACTTAAAATGCACATCTCTAGAGCAGACATGTTTTGGTCTTGACAGGTGGACGTGTCTAATATCTATGGTCTGACTGAGCAAGACCGTCAAGCTTTGAGGTCTCGTGTCGACGGCAAACTGCGGACACAGGTTGGTACTGTTGTTCTCCCTCTTAGTCAAACATTGCACAAAACAGTAATGGTGAGGACGACACAATTACAGAAAGGAGCATCACTGAGGTGTTTCGCCTGTGGACAGGCAAAACACCTCAGTGAAGCAGCTTCTCCATAGGCGAAATTGTATCTTTTTCACCACCTGTCGATTTTCATCCATTTTTCTCCACGAAACCGAAATATTTATTCAAAGATTACTCATTGAACTTTCAAGATTGATCAAGAGTCAATGGACAACAGAGAATGTATTTTTTTTGTTAATCCTGACGAATAAATCTGTCTTTATGCTTTTATAGAAGTCAATTTGTACTGTCATTAAGAGATTTTCTTATATGATGCAGGTGATCAACGGAGAGGAGTTCCCACCTTACCTAAAGGATGTACCTGGCATCACCATGGACTATCCTCCCCACGTGCCCATACCCGAGGAAGCCAAGTTTGCCCTTGGCCACCCATTCTATGCCTTACTCCCAGGACTCTTTGTAAGTAACACTCACCTATGAGGCACAGACACAAGTAGCAAAACAAACTACTGTTCTCTGTAAAATCTTCTTGTCAGTAATAAATAATTTCATGTACAAAGTAATGAATATCCATTAAAGTTAAGATAAATGCGCATGGAGCAGGGTTCTCATCTTTTTTTTTTTTTACTTTGATTGCAGGCATATGCGACCATCTGGGTTCGTGAGCACAATCGTGTATGTGATGAGCTACACAGACTTCACCCGGGCTGGGATGACGAACGCCTCTACCAGACTGCTCGCCTTATTATCATTGGTAAGCTTTTTCGTGCTTTGCGTATTTTGTTGTAAATGTAAGTTCAAAGTAACGAACCATGTAGGTAGAATCAAATGAGATTGTTCTTTACTACTGGGTGGCAGCTCACGGGGTCACTGACTTCCAGATATGTATCCCACACAGCTTCCCTAACAGGCATGAACAAGACAAAAACATTTAGACAAATATATAGCATACACAGCTTTTGTAGCTGATATAAGAAGGAAGAACCAATTCAGACAAATCTATAATATACAGAACTTTGAGCAAGTGTAGGTCAGTTCGACCAGTAAGTGCAGTAAAAAAAACTTGAATCATGCCAAGAACTAAAGAAAAATAATATAGATGGCTTAAGTAAATAAGAATCTGTGTTTGAAGCAGACGAGGCAGGAGCATGCAGTGCAAGAAGTAGTTGGGGAAGATGAGGATTCGATCCAAATCTGGAACGAGGGGAAAGTTAGTGAACTATTACGGTTAAAACAAACTGGAAACACAACACAGTGATAAGAAGATAAGATAAGATTTCGTTCGGATTTTTAACCCCGGAGGGTTAGCCACTCAGGATAACCCAAGAAAGTCAGTGCGTCATCGAGGACTGTCTAACTTATTTCCATTGGGGTCCTTAATCTTGTCCCCCAGGATGCGACCCACACCAGTCGACTAACACCCAGGTACCTATTTGCTGCTAGGTGAACAGGACAACAGGTGTAAGGAAACGTGTCGAAATGTTTCCACCCGCCGGGAATCGAACCCGGGCCCTCCGTGTGTGAAGCGGGAGCTTTAGCCACCAGGCCACCGGGCCAGTGCAGGAGCAGCTATAGGAATTGAAGAACAAAAGAGTGGCTGTTGTATTGAAGGGAAACCCCATGTCGATGACAGGAAGCCCTTGGCTTATCTAGGTGGTGTAGCAGAGCATTTGACCTCTTCCAAGATGCCATTCACAGCATTCCACTAACACCTACGTACCTGTTCACTGCTACCCAGGATTCAAACTCAGGGTCTTTCAGTTGTGAGCTTCTTGTGCTGATCAGTGTGTGATAACCACATATAAATTTAGGAAGAGATATAACAAAATAATGTTGGAAGCAACGGTAGGTAGAGAAAAAATAACAGATTCAAACAATAGAAAAAAAAGATCATAAAATACAACAAGAGGATCTTTTGTCAAATAACTATTGTTAGTGTGATGGAAGTCAAGAGAGGTTAATGTATGTTGCAACCTCTGCAAACTTGAAATATTCAGATTCAAATTCAAATTCAAAGTTTATTCTCTATAAGGATTACAATGCTGAGTTTACAGAATTTGGTTATTGTGTGGTTTACATGTAGTTAAATAATGATTACAGAGTGTACCACTAGAACACCTAGCATGGCTAGGCATTACAGAGTGTACCACTAGAACACCTAGCATGGCTAGGCATTACAGAGTGTACCACTAGAACACCTAGCATGGCTAGGCATTACAGAGTGTACCACTAGAACACCTAGCATGGCTAGGCATTACAGAGTGTACCACTAGAACACCTAGCATGGCTAGGCATTTCGGGCAGACTTAGATTAATTCTTAAATTTAAAATATTACAAATTATGAGGTAAGTTGGTATTATGGCTAAGTGACTAAATACTAGTTTGTGAGTTTAGCAATGTGAATGATTTTGTTTTGGCACTATACATAGTTTCAGTATTAGTAAGATTAATTAATTTAAAAAGGAACATTACGAATTTAACTCTACTCTTGTTACTATAATTGGGCAATGGTAAATGGCCCACATGGGTTTACTGCTAATTGAAATAAGATCCAGTACCCTTCCCCCCCCCCACACGCACACACACACCTGACTGTATGTTTCCCAGACACTGTCTAACCAGCTCCTCCTCCTCCTCCTCAGGCGAGGTTATCAAGATCACCATCGAGGACTATGTTCAACATCTCAGTCAATATAACCTGAGATTGACCTTTGAACCAGAGCTCACCCACGGCACCCACTTCCAGTACCACAACCGCATCCATGCTGAGTTCAACCACCTGTACCACTGGCATCCACTCATCCCAGACACACTGCAGGTGGGTAGTAGGTGGTGACAGGCCATTTGAGTGAAGACAGCTGTGTTATGACTATATTCAGACTACGCAAAGTTTAAAGAAAAAGTATTGAATTAGTGTGTACAATTATTAGCATCACACATCAGAGACCAGTTATGTTTAAAATTAAAACATTAAACACAGTCTGAATTACAAAAAGACTGGATGTAGATTAAACCATGGTCCATGTATTTAACAGACCCAGCACTAACTACTGTTAAGTCACTGATAGTCATTCATTACTGCTTATCTTGGGCTTATCATCTAATCACATAACGTTTTGTCCCACAGATTAATGGAACAGACTATGCTATCATGGATATGGCATACTCCACGGCACCTGTGTTCAAGCATGGTCTTGATAACTTTATCCACTCCATGGTCAACAGCAGAGCAGGAGCAGTAAGTGTCTCTTATTCTGCACTCACTTCACTGCCACCATAATCTCATTGAATTTTACGAAGAACCAAACCTGTGTTAGGTGGAGGCTCGGTCCTCTACCTGGAGTTTACCTGGTCTGAGACCAGGTCTCTACTTATAATCGCAACCAAACTTAAATTCACTGCAATAAATCATAGTGCCGATGCGAATTTCGTTGACCATTTATGCAATTAGAGAATTTTTAATAAGTTAGCCCAGAAACATGCTATATCTTTTGTTATTAATAATATATTCTTTCTTCAGCTGACGACAAGGAATCACGCCCACGTGTTGTACCCAGTCCTGAAGAAGGTGATCGAGAACAGCCGACAACTTCGGTTCCAAGGCGTCAATGCTTATAGAAAGAGGTTCGAGATGAAACCTTTCACCAGCTTCCAAGAACTGACCGGAGACACGGAGTTGGCTGGAGTCCTGGAGGAGATGTACGGGGACATTGATGCTGTGGAATATTATATTGGTGAGTTGTGCAGTGTTGTCTGCACTCACATGTATACACATACAAATGAATATAAATACACATTTTTATATAGTTTCTGTAGGATGTAGCTTATATTTGATCTTGATAATATAACCAGAAGATTTTTCTACTATTCACTGACCACACCTGTTCTGGTGCTAGACACCATTATTAACTGTTCTCTTTATTTTCAGGTCTACTGGCAGAGCGCCCTGGTCCCTCCATCACCCCGCTGACCATGGTAAACATGGGAGGACCCTGGAGTGTGAAGGGTCTCATGGCCAACCCCATTTGCTCTCCTAAGTACTGGAAACCTTCCACCTTCGGAGGTGAAGAAGGCTTTAACATCGTCAAAACAGCGTCTTTGGAAAAGCTTTTCTGTCTCAACATGAGGACTGGATGCAAAGACATCAGTTTCACAGTTCCAGCCGGCACATCTTAGCATATTTCAGTTGATTAGGACTTTTATCAAATTGCATGAATGCTTGATGATGCAAGTCATTCCAAGAGTGAAGAGTTCCTCATTTTAAGATTAAGGTGTGTGTGGCTGAGGGAGAAAGACGTGAATCTCGTGAATTAATTTATATTTTAGTAGTAAATCTTATACCTCACTCAAAGCTGATATTTGTTGCCAATATTTATTGAATGAATGACTTCTGTGGACCAGAGGAGGCAAGTGTGAGTGGGACCTGCCTATCATGGGTCAGTAAGCCTACTGCAGTGTTTCAGTATTGTTATGTTCATGTTTGCCCTTCCCCTCAGGATGCTAAGAGCCAGTGTTTTTGTGGATCAGATTAAACTAGCCCCTGTCCCTATTTTCTAAGTTTTCTGTATCACTGGAGCACTAGGTCACACTTTTGTAAAGTGGACATTCGTTTGTTATTTGTGTGCAAGTGTAATATAGTGAAAGCTAACTTTTATAGATATTTTTATATTGTTACTAGTCACTTTTAACTGATGCATGTGTGGGAACACCACAGTATAACTGATCATTTATGTTTCATCCATATTTTGAGTCGAGGAAGTATACATGGGAACATTTAAGAGGATCTGACTCTACATGCAATCAGAATACTAAAATATTTAAAGAAGGAAGAAGCTTTGAACCCTTAGAGATCCCACAGTGACCGGAAATGGGAGGCAATCACTGTCGATCTTAGTGAAGGATAGGTTCAATAGTCCCCTTAATCACTAGTATCAAGGGACCTTCCTTGACGCCCAGTCGGTGTAATTTTTAAATTGAAATCAGAAGTCATAATTTCTAAAATTTGGAAATCAGAGCCTCGCATGACCGGAGGGGAAAAAAAAAAGAGTCTCTTTACTTGATATCGGAAACTTTAAGTAAAAGAAGAATCTTGGTGTCGGAACCCCATTACAAGGAATCAGAATCCTACGTTCTCATAGATCCATTTGTAAGGCGCCTTGAACTATCAAGTATGTGCCTTTGTGTACATATTGCAGAATATTGTGTGTATGTCAAAGTGTAGTGTATATAAATGTCAAAAAGTAGTGTGTGTACATGTCAAAGACTAGAGTGTGTGTACATATCCATGAGTAGTGTTTGTGTACATGTCCATGAGTAGTGTTTGTGTACATGTCCATGAGTAGTGTTTGTGTACATATCCATGAGTAGTGTTTGTGTACATGTCCATGAGTAGTGTTTGTGTACATATCCATGAGTAGTGTTTGTGTACGTGTCAAAAACTACGTTTTCAAACTATTTTTGTACATATTATAAATAATAGTTTAATTATGTACATAATTTGATCTCATACCATGTATAAATGTTTCTTTAACTTTTAAATAAAATATATTATGGAAAAAAGTATATTTCAATATCCAGTAATGTGAAAACAATGATGAGTCATCACACTGTTCTGGCTGCCTTGTTGGTTAATGGGGTTTCAAGCCTGTCGGCTCCACGATGCTCATGGCTGCACATGACTTGTTCACCGGTCGAGAATACTGTTAAATCCTTAAGTAGGGATTAATGTAAACTCTTGTTCTATCTAGGCTGGAATATTGCTGCACTCTAACAGCATCTTTCAAGGCAGGTGATATTGCCGACCTAGAAAATGTACAGAGAACTTTCACGGCGCGCATAACAGAGATAAAACACCTCAATTACTGGGAGTGCTTGAGGTTCCTAAACCTGTATTCCCTGGAACGCAGGCGGGAGAGATACATGATTATATACACCTGGAAAATCCTAGAGGGTCTAGTACCGAACTTGCACACGAAAATCACTCACTACGAAAGCAAAAGACTTGGCAGACGATGCAACATCCCCCCAATGAAAAGCAGGGGTGTCACTAGCACGTTAAGAGACCATACAATAAGTGTCAGGGGCCCGAGACTGTTCAACTGCCTCCCAGCATACATAAGGGGGATTACCAACAGACCCCTGGCAGTCTTCAAGCTGGCACTGGACAAGCACCTAAAGTCGGTTCCTGACCAGCTGGGCTGTGGCTCGTACGTTGGTTTGCGTGCAGCCAGCAGTAACAGCCTGGTTGATCAGGCTCTGGTCTACCAGAAGGCCTGGTCACAGACCGGGCCGCGGGGGCGTTGACCCCCGGAACTCTCTCCAGGTAAACTCCAGGTAATATACAGAGATATACACCTCACTGTATATACAGATACACACCCCTCAGTGTATATACAAATACACACCCCTCAGTGTATATACAGATACACACCTTTCAGTGTATCCCCTCAGTGTATATACAGAGATATACACCTCTCAGTGTATATACAGAGATATACACCTCTCAGTGTATATACAGAGATATACACCTCTCAGTGTATACAGAGACATGCACTTCTCAGTGTATGTATGATGCCACACAGTGTTGTCTTGGCTGTTACAAAGAATTAGATGAAACAAGAGTATAAAAAACATCGTTAGTGGAGAGGTTTCGCCCATAAGTCACTTGAAACGTATCGACTATCAGTATAACAACATGAAAAGTTAAGTTGCAGCAGTAATTTAGTAGTAGTTGTAGCCCAGGTCTACCATCCTGTCGATTGTTGCAGGAGGGCGGGGAGAGAGCCTTCTGCTTTTCCATCCTTGACTCCTCCAGCCAGATAATCCACAATAGTCCATAATTCAGGTATAAATAGTTACCGGAGTGGTATGTGGTTGGGGGTGGAGGGGTGGGTGAGCCAGTGGAAGGCCTCGGACAGATGACCCAAAACTCCAGTTGCGAGTCAATATATATAACGAGGACCCGCGCCAGGAAACACTTGTCCTGTTTCCGTGTCATATTTCCACTGGGGTCCCTCAATCTTGTACCCCAGGATGCGACCCACACCAGTCGACTAGCACCCAGGTACCTATTTGCTTTCTAGGTGAACCGGACAACAGGTGTAAGGAAACACGCCCAATGTTTCTACCCGTGCCGGGGATCGAACCAGGGACACTGTGTGTGAGGCGAGAGCATTGCCTACCAGGCCACGGGCCCTATATAGAGCTGGGAGTTGGAACCAACTCATCTGGAACAACAACTGAAAGTTGGAACCAACTCATCTGGAACAACAACTGGAAGTTGGAACCAACTCATCTGGAACAACAACTGAAAGTTGGAACCAACTCATCTGGAACAACAACTGGGAGTTGGAACCAACTCATCTGGAACAACAATTGGGAGTTGGAACCAACTCATCTGGAACAACAACTGGGAGTTGGAACCAACTCATCTGGAACAACAACTGGAAGTTGGAACCAACTCATCTGGAACAACAACTGGAAGTTGGAACCAACTCATCTGGAACAACAACTGGAAGTTGGAACCAACTCATCTGGAACAACAACTGGAAGTTGGAACCAACTCATCTGGAACAACAACTGGAAGTTGGAACCAACTCATCTGGAACAACAACTGGGAGTTGGAACCAACTCATCTGGAACAACAATTGGGAGTTGGAACCAACTCATCTGGAACAACAACTGGGAGTTGGAACCAGCTCATCTGGAACAACAACAGGAAGTTGGAACCAACTCATCTGGAACAACAACAGGAAGTTGGAACCAACTCATCTGGAACAACAACTGGAAGTTGGAACCAACTCATCTGGAACAACAACTGGAAGTTGGAACCAACTCATCTGGAACAACAACTGGGAGTTGGAACCAACTCATCTGGAACAACAACTGGGAGTTGGAACCAACTCATCTGGAACAACAACTGGAAGTTGGAACCAACTCATCTGGAACAACAATTGGGAGTTGGAACCAACTCATCTGGAACAACAACTGGGAGTTGGAACCAGCTCATCTGGAACAACAACTGGAAGTTGGAACCAACTCATCTGGAACAACAACTGGGAGTTGGAACCAACTCATCTGGAACAACAACTGGAAGTTGGAACCAACTCATCTGGAACAACAACTGGAAGTTGGAACCAACTCATCTGGAACAACAACTGGAAGTTGGAACCAACTCATCTGGAACAACAACTGGAAGTTGGAACCAACTCATCTGAAACAACAACTGGAAGTTGGAACCAACTCATCTGGAACAACAACTGGGAGTTGGAACCAACTCATCTGGAACAACAACTGAAAGTTGGAACCAACTCATCTGGAACAACAACTGGAAGTTGGAACCAACTCATCTGGAACAACAACTGGAAGTTGGAACCAACTCATCTGGAACAACAACTGGGAGTTGGAACCAACTCATCTGGAACAACAACTGGGAGTTGGAACCAACTCATCTGGAACAACAACTGGAACCTTGGGACTTGACAGCAAGAAAAATAATATTGAGAAAGGTGTCCCCTGGGCTATACCGGGAAATCCATATTCGGATTATTAACCCCTGAGGGTTAGTAACCCAGGATAACCCAATAGAGTTAATTAGTGTGGCTTATTTCCAATGAAGATTTAGGGCCGTCTCCCCCTCGCCCAGGATGCCACCCACAACAGTCTCAACTAAGTTCCAGGTATCTATTTACTGCTAGGTAACAGGGGCAGCAGGTGTTAGGAGACTTGTGGGGTTCGATCCTACGTTCTCTCTGTTGGTCATACGTTCCTCCTCGTTGTGGGGTTCGATCCTACGTTCGTCCTCGCTGTGGCGTTCGATCCTCCGATCGTTCTCATTGTGGGGTTCGATCCTCCGTTCGTCCTCGTTGTGGGGTTCGATCCTCCGTTCGTCCTCGTTGTGGGGTTCGATCCTCCGTTCGTCCTCGTTGTGGGGTTCGATCCTCCGTTCGTCCTCGTTGTGGAGTTCGATCCTCCGTTCGTCCTCGTTGTGGGGTTTGATCCTACATTCTTGTGTGAGCTTCTGGTTCTTAACACTACTCTTAGAGTTCTCTGGGGATTATTGTGGATGCATAAGACATGAAAGGGGAAGGAGTTAGAGGGGAAGGAGAAGTGGGGAGAACAGGTGGGGGGAGAGGTAGGGAGAACAGGTGGGGGAGGACAGGTGGGGGAGGACAGGTGGGGGAGGACAAGTGGGGAGGACAAGTGGGGAGGACAGGTGAGGAGAACAGGTGGGGAGAACAGGTGGGGGAGGACAGGTGGGGAGGACAGGTGGGAGGACAGGTGGGGAGGACAGGTGGGGGAGGACAAGTGGGGAGGACAAGTGGGGAGGACAGGTGAGGAGAACAGGTGGGGAGAACAGGTTGGGGGAGAGGTAGGGAGAACAGGTAGGGAGGACAGGTGGGGAAGGACAGGTGGGTGGGGAGGACAAGTGGGGAGGACAAGTGGGGAGGACAGGTGAGGAGAACAGGTGGGGAGAACAGGTGGGGGAGGACAGGTGGGGGAGGACAGGTGGGGAGGACAGGTGGGGGACGACAGGTGGGGGACGATAGGTGGGGGACGACAGGTGGGGGACGACAGGTGGGGGACGACAGGTGGGGGACGACAGGTGGGGGACGACAGGTGAGGGACGACAGGTGGGGGACGACAGGTGGGGGACGACAGGTGGGGGACGACAGGTGGGGGACGACAGGTGGGGGACAACAGGTGGGGGACGACAGGTGGGGGACGACAGGTGAGGGACAACAGGTGGGGGACGACAGGTGGGGGACGACAGGTGGGGGACGACAGGTGGGGGACGACAGGTGGGGGACAACAGGTGGGGGACGACAGGTGGGGGACGACAGGTGGGGGACGACAGGTGGGGGGACGACAGGTGGGGGACGACAGGTGGGGGACGACAGGTGGGGGACGACAGGTGGGGGACAACAGGTGGGGGACGACAGGTGGGGGACGACAGGTGGGGGACGACATGTGGGGGACGACATGTGGGGGACGACAGGTGGGGGACGACAGGTGGGGGACGACAGGTGGGGGACGACATGTGGTGGACGACAGGTGGGGGACGACAGGTGGGGGACGACAGGTGAGGGACGACAGGTGGGGGACGACAGGTGGGGGACGACATGTGGGGGACGACATGTGGGGGACGACAGGTGGGGGACGACAGGTGGGGGACGACAGGTGGGGGACGACAGGTGGAGTTGTGGATATTAGGAAAATTATGGTCAGAATAACTTAACATATACTCATATATATGTGGTTGCAAGAGTCGAGTCTCAGCTCCTGGCCCCCCGCCTCTCCGCTGGTCGCTGCTGGTTTCATTCGTGGCTGCGTGCTCCCTGTCATGCCTAGTCTTAAAGCTATGTATGGATCCTACCATTTCAC